CACTACTCGATGGTGAAGACCTATCAAAAATTGACGTTGTAATTGTTGATGATGTACCTTGCAAGGTTACTATCTCGTTCCTTTGATGTTTTGGCTTGCTACTAGAATATATTGTTATCTTGTATACTCAATGAAATATTTCAGGATAAATACGGAAACATTGTTCTCAAGCATAGGGAGGCTTTGATCCACACTGACGGGACTGGCCTAATATCAGAAGATTTAGCTAAGAAATGCCCTACATATGTATTTAAGGGGAACCTTTTGAGGATACATGATGTGAGTGTGTGCTTCCCTGTCCCCCATATTGAATTCATGCTCCGGCCAGTTGCTCCAAAAGTCTGAACTGATGGAGAGAGGCGGGCAATATATTTCAACACCCCATTGTGCATCTTGTCAGAAAATATGATTTTTTTTTATTTCTCACTTACCATATTTGAACTATATATCAGGTCTCTGAAGGTTATGGTTTTGTGAAGATAATGATAAGTCATTTGGGCAAATTTTGATATGCCAAAAGAAAACTTGGATACACACATGGCCCAGCTCCTTTTAGTAATACAAAGTTGACACATAGTTGAATTTTGAATCAGCGCCGTTTGAAGCTTTTAGCTGTTTCACCATGCTATGCTTTAGGTTCTTCCATAGAATGCATTCTGCACTCGGGCACTGATTATAGTGGAAGCTCACTGGCACCCAATATCATCGGTCACACCAACTGTTCTCTCAGTTGTGAAAAGATTGGTGGTACCTTATTTTACTTTGCAACTCACTTAAAGCATCCATTATGAGTTGGACGACACTCGACTTTTCACCCTAATGAGCTTAATAATATGGCACACATCCTAATGAGCTTAATAATATGGACATTTGTGTTAGTAGTGGAACATCACGTTCTGTACTTTGATAAGACTGTCTCCACTAGATCCTACTCCCTCCGTTCCAAATTACTCGTCGCAGAAATGGATGTATCTAGAACTAAAATACATCTAGATACATCCATACCTGCGACAAGTAATTCGGAACGGAGGGAGTAGATGATTGTGTCCCTCTGCTTGTTTAATCTCATACTGAACTTAAAGAACCTGGCATGTCGACCATGTTAGATCAGCAAACACATCATCCGTAGATTGTGATACACCATACGTACCATTGGTTGCAAACTTGCAATATATCATGCTACAACATCAAGTCCATCACATTATTGTTTAAAAGAACGACAGATTTAAGACGAGATGAGAAATTTGTGGACTCTACTAACAAATAGGTGTTAGTGGTTAACGTTACCCCAAAAATCATGTTTTGGAAATAGCTAATAATTATCAAAATTGTTGCTTGCTATTTCTAGCTAACTCTGCTTTTCACTTTTTAGTTTTATTATTAATTATTTTGGTACTATTATTCAATTCTATGTTATAACTTACACAGGATAGTGTGGATTCAAAGGAGGATCAATTTGACATCGATGATCATGTAATCTGTGGAGTAAACAATATCATGATCTTTTCTCAGTTATTTTTCAAATGCTCCATTAGATAACTAAGCAGTGTATTGCTCTTCCCCTTCCTCTCTCTAGCCTCTTCTTATGCAGGTCCGTATGTTCTATAATGGACTTGCTGTAAAGGGAACCCTTCTTGTTGTTAGAAAGGTATATATTTATCATGGATGGCTTGAATTTATTGTTGTTGGAGTGTTATCGTTTAGAGCAAGTATAATAAGGTGCTTATAGCCCGCTTACGCGACACTTTTGTCTATATGGAGGAGAAAGACAAGAAAAAAAATGAGGGGAGTGGTTTCTCATGCAAGAGCTCACCTCTACACGTGCTCCTAGGCAAATGTAATAAATATGGAGAAAGAGAACGCGAGAGGGTGTAACGAAGGACTAGTATAATAGCCAACTTCATCATATGAATGACTATGTATGATGTCTATAAAACATGACAGCATCATATGGCCATCAACTGGCTATACTATTAGCCATGCTCTTAGCAAATTAGCAGTTCCAGTGAACAAATGGTTGCATGGAAACATTACCTTCATTTCCTATCTTTCCTATTTGCCATTTTATTGGTGGTACCTTTTTCCGCACGTTCAATTCTTCTGGCCCACAACTTATACAATACCATGAGTTATTGACAGCCTGAGAATCCAATACTAGTAATATAATTGAGCAATCACATCAATTATTGGTTTTCTTTTATATCATTTTTGTTCACTTTATGTCGGTCAAATTTTGAACTTTTCTTACCATTTTTTAAGAATATATTTCTTATGTATTGCAGCTTCCTGAAAGGACTATCCATGTACGACCATCAATGATAAAAGTAAACTCAGATCCTAGTTTATCAGGTGGGCACTCCTTCAACTCACTGGAAATTGTTTCAACGAGGTAAGTAACCTGGATATGCATTTACTGGATTTAAGTATGAGTAGGGGGGATATCTTGCATAGGCCATAATTTAGAATTTTAGATGCGATCATTCAACTACTTTGGTTTAGCAAGAACTGGGAAAGTTCCCATAAAATTGTGAAAGGCAGTTCTTTACTTGGTACATGTTTTGTCTTCAATTTTATAGTATTATTAAGGTCACCCACGCTTAACTAACTGATTAAGCTTTCTGTGAATCAGTTTGGTAGCTGAAGTCACAGAGTTAATTTCTTTGTAGTGGTAGTGCTACGGTTTTGATAAATATTGAGAAATTTTTCTTGAGCATTCTCTACAGCTAATGAAATTCTTGCCTTTTGTTGGCACTTCACAACATTTTTCCAGCAACCGACCCAAAAGGGCATTGACATCAAGGTTTTTAATCACGCTGCTTCAATATGGAGGGGTTCCAGCGGATTGTTTTATGGAGCTCCTAGGGAAGGCACTAAAAGATGTTGAGAAAGCTCGCCATAAAACTAGAGATTCCCTTGAAGGTTAATTTGAAATATCATGAATAGAGCATGTATTTATGCTGCATTTTGCTATAAATATGGGATATGCTGCATTTCTTTGATGTTTAGGAATTTGTTACTTTTAACATCTCAAGTATGCATTTACCTAGTGGCAGTTATGCCTTTACTTGCAATTTCTATTAATGTGATCCCTCTTACAGTTGCATTTAACCACGGTGACATGGATGATTTAATGTCTGCACGGATGATCCTTTCTGGAATTCGACCAGAAGATGAGGCATACTTACAGCACCAGCTTACTACAATGACCAAAGAGGAAAGAGAAGGATTCAAACAAGGCAGGCTCCCTGTCAATCAGTGTTATTATCTGATGGGCACAACAGATCCTACAGGGACACTAAAGCCCCATGAAGTCTGTGTGATATTGTAAGTGGTCCAGTAACCCACCATATCCTTTCTATTGCTCGGCCTTTCCTTTATCTCTTCCTTATGCTTTTCAATTTTTCCGACTGCCATAATCTTATAATTTTACATAAACAGGATATTGGTTTCTCTGGATCTGTTTCTCATGTTACAATTTGTTGTAGAAGGGGAATGCAGAACTTAAACATTATTCTGTTTCTGTTTGTAAACCAGTGAGTCGTTAGATAATGCATTGAAATTGAGCTTAGACTTTAAGTATTGGTATATTGCTCACCTTTTCTGGTCAGCTTAGACTTTTGGATGACCTTTCCACACCCACCCCCTCTCCCATAAAAAATAATAATATTTTGGATGAACTGGTGCTTGCAACTCAACGTGTACCAGGACCAGGATCAAGAGGTGTTAGTTCAAATCCTTAGTAACCAAGCTTTAAGAACTATAATTGCAGTTCACTGACTTCACTCTAGTCCATATCTTAGGCTTGAAGGAGCCTAGACATGAGTGTGACTGTAAGTATGTTGCTCACTGTTCTTTATCATCTAGCTTAAGCTTTTAGGTGAACTAGTTGGTGTATGCAACTATGCACCTTCATATGGACTAGAGGTTTCTGCTTTTGTTTCATGAATGCATTAAAGAACACACTTCGTACATCAATTTGATTTTTTTCAAGTCCTTCAATAGTTTGATGATCATCCTGCCCTGTAAGGAGAATGTCTGACAAGGAAGCAACAACTTCAGGATGTACCTTTTTTATTTAGACTGGTCAGAACATGGTTTTAATAAATGCATGGTCTGATCTTGTGGATGATATGTTTTCATGCTGGATTAAGTATGTGTGACTAATTACATATTGCCAGGGCACAAAATATGTGGGACTTTGGTAGGAACCGGATCCCTACCAGGGTGTGGTCTCAGGTTGTAGGGGTGGAAGGAGGGATGGCGTGGAGGAAGGCGTGGTCGCTGGCGCTGGGGCGCCATCGTTGCGTGTGCGCGCGCGAGAGGGAGAGAGAGCAGGGGCGGCGGCTAGGGTTAGGTCTCCCGACTCCCTAAGGAAGCCGAGCAAATATGATTGCTTCTTGCTTAATCCCAAGACGGGTCCTTACACGAGTTTATATAATCCTCCTAATAAGATAATTGGGCTAAGCCCCTAATAACGATAAGATAAACTGAGCCACAACTAACTGGGCTAAGCCCCTAATATGTCGATCATAACAGACTTCTAGACTTTGGTAATGTTCTAGATTTAATTATAGACCATACCATCCTTTTGAAGGGATTTAGAAGGTTGAAGTGTTCGTCTGTTCCTTTTATTACTAATCATGTCTCATCAAACAGGGACCATGGCCCCATTTCTGGAGAGGTTCTTGTCTACAGACATCCTGGGCTGCATTTTGGTGATATACATGTCTTGACAGCTACATATAGTGAGGCTATACAGGATTTCGTGGGAGACTCCAAGTATGCTATTCTTTTTCCTGTTTCTGGACCACGATCTCTAGCTGATGAGATGGCAGGTGGTGATTTTGATGGTGATATGTACTGGGTCTCGAGAAACCCACAGGTTGGTTATTGTTTCTGACATGTTGCAGTGAACTGTTTATTTTTGCTATCCTTGCTAACAAACATAATCCTTTGGAGCATATTGCACACTAGTTTATTAGGGAGTATATATTTCATCTATTCCTAGAACATGGAATTTGGGATGCGTTGCTGATTTTATTTACACAGGGTTTCTGCAAGTTGAATTCCGTTCCTACTTACTACACGCATTGCTGATTTTATTTATACAGGGTTTCTGCAAATTATGTAAAATGCATATTTGTTCTCACTTCAAAATAAAACAATGATATTTAAACGTTACCATCTAGTGGATAAATATAACATCAAATAGCTAATATTGTTTTTGAAAGTTGCATCATTCAGGATATAGCCTATATTTACCACTCATTTCCTATAATCTTTCCTGGTATTTTTAACAGAAAGGTACATTTGATCCAAATGTCTTGACTTCTTTTAACTCGGTTAATGATACAAATTAGATTTTGTGTCCTTCAGGGTTACCTTTTTTGTTCTAAAATATAAAATACCTTGCCTTGTGTTTTCAGAATTTTTAGTGTATCTTTGAAGCATCATTTTGTCAAGTAAACTGCCCATCTTTTCCCGTCACCATGAGCTTTTGGCTGTACTGGTTGGTTCTCAATATGGTATCAAAGCCAAGAGGTCTTGAGTTCAAGACTTGACTCGTATATTTCTTTCGACAGAACATACAGCCCACTTGCAGTTCACGTCTTATTGTCTTAGGCATCAGAGAGTCCGACTTGAGGGAGAGTGTTGAAGTATAAATGTTGAGCTTTTGGGTGGTGCATGATACTCAATACATTTGGCACCAAATTGTTTTGGACTTTTGGTATGACATCATACTCTGCGCAGAATTGTAACTATCATTAAAATGACCTTTTCAGTTACTGAAGTACTTCAAACCATCGGAACCATGGGATCCAAGAAGCCCTCCAAGGAAGGCTAAACAAGAGAAGCCTCAGGATTATGATGAATCCAAGCTAGAACACATTTTATTCCGTGAATTTTTTAGAACTAGGTTTACACCGAGGTATTATTTACTCGTAATCCTTAATTTTTTTGCATGGGCACTTAACTTTGCTATTTCTGTTATGCATGTAAGCCCGCAGAGCGTCTTGACATTGAAAGGCCATCGAAATTTCGAGGCGTCATAATTTAAGGCCAAAATACCTAAAATGTATTGTTCGAGTTACCTAAACTGTATTTTTAATATACAATGGTTGTCTCATTTACCAAGTCTGGACATAAACTGACAGGATCCAGGTCTTGTGGTGAAGATCGTACAAATCGACATGTGTACATCTATAATGAAGTCAATTATGATTAATAAGTGTTGAAGTGTATATGTGGATTACCTAGCCCTTTCCATTAGTTCGGACTTTTGGTTGCGTTGGCTAGTGTATGAAGCTTAACATGGTATCACAGCCTAAGGTTTTGTGTTCAAGTCCTGGTTTTCGCAGTTTATTCAAAAATTGCTGCCGCCCCCTCTTATGTCCACGTATAGGCCTCTTGAGCCATACCTCTGAGTCTATTCACGTGTTGACTTCCCGCGTCACATGTGAGAGGGGGTGTTGAAGTGTATACATGGATTGCCTAGCCCTTTCTATCAGTTCAGACTTATGGTTGCGTTGGCTAGTGCATGAAGCTTAACAATAAGATTCTACCACATATTGATCATACCTTCTTGGACCAAGATCATTGTTATTAAGAACTTTACATCATAATCATGCATTAAGTTCTAGTTATAGATAAATTTATTAAGAGAAAAGGAACAATGTTGACATATGCTACCGTTTCAAAATATTATGTCCTATATTTACAGTGTCCAGTAAAAAAAGTATTGGTTATTTATTTACAGATAACATCACATATATTTTGATATTACATCTGCTCAGCATGTAGTAATTTCCTAGTTTTGCCATGACCATTTTGTAGACCCTGTATTATATATGAGCTATGCAAGTTATGTGGACTAACGTTGTTTGAGATTTTTCCTTCCTTCAGTTATGTGCTGGGTGCAGCTGCAGATTGTTGGCTGGTATATATGGATCGGCTACTGACATGTGAAGTTCAAGAAGACAAAAAAGAATGGGAGTCGATAAAGGCTAAGATGCTTGAATTGGTTGACATTTACTATGAGGCTCTGGATGCCCCGAAAAGTGGGAACAAGGTTTGAAATCCTGTGTTGATACACTATAGTTACTGTGATTTTTACTGTTCACCTGCTGGTATGGGATTAAACATCCAAAAACGTTATGTGTTATGGAATTAGTGGTGATGAGTTAGTAAGGATGGACTTTAATTGTGTTCCAGTGCAATTATTTCTTTAGTTGAGTACTTGAGTCGGGATATAAGGAAATTGATCAAAGCCCTCTATAAAAAAGGTAGCTAGTATTTGGGATTAAGAAAAAGAATGTAACAACCCTCCCTTCCAGTTGCTAATCCCTATCCTCTATAATTTTTTAACCCCTACTACTGCTACCCTTCTTCACAACCATGATATGAACTCGTGGATGATGTATGGTAGAAAAATTCTATATAAATACTACTTCCGTCCTGGTTTATTGGTCCTCTTCTTTTTTTGTGTCAAAATTTGACCATACATTTAACTGACAAAAGGTCAATGCATGTCATAAAAAATTATATCGTTGGATTCGCATTTGAACATAGTTTCCAATGATACTATTTTTTGTGACATGCATTAACATTTTGTTAATTAAATCGTTGGTCAAAATTGGATACAAACTACTAAGGGGACCAATAAACCAGGACAGAGGTAGTACTGTGCAATGCGTATGATGATGACGTATCTGTACATGTGGCCCAGGGGGGTCTGGAACACACCTATCCTGTCGTAACAGGGAAAGACTTGGCATGGATATGTCATGTTCCTTATGGATTTGGCACTTAAACCAACTATAAGGAGATTTTCCCTTAGTTGGCTCCATCTAAACCCAATCAAATCAAAGAAAGATCACAGCTTACTCTTCTAAGAGAAGACGTCTATATAAAGGACCCAGAGGCCTATGCAGGAGGTATCTTACAATGACAACTCAACTCAAATCACAACACAACACAAAGTTAATCAAACACCGATGCAATTTACTAGTGTACTTTTAGCTAATATTGGTGACTGGATATGTGATGATCCAGGTAGAGTGACGGTGTAGGTTACATAAAAAACCTGCATACAGTGGATGATTCTTTGTATGCTTTCATCACCAGGACGTTAACCGTCTTTCTTAATAGTTTCATTTTGATTTGCAACAAAATGTATATTACATACTCTACATTGTACTTCAGCTAAACATTCTTTCTTCATCCATCTTCCAAATAGATCACTATGCCTCGTCATCTGAAGGTTGAAGTATATCCGCACTTTATGGAAGGGAAAGGGTTTACACCTCCCTACATTTCCACATCAGTGCTGGGCAAAATCTATGATTTAGCAAAGTCGCATCAGCCTGAAGCAGTTCACCCAATCAGTAAGTTGATATTTCTAGTTGGTTTCTCTATATAACCTCTTATTTAGCTAGCATATATGTTTCTCATTTGAAACTGATTTTTACTGATCATGTGTTATATATGTACAATCTGCAACGGTTGCAGAGGAAAAAAATGTGGAACTTATAGTACAATTATATAATCGCACAGTAGCCAGACTAGGGGCATTTGTGCTGAGCTGATAGCTTTTGAGAGATTATATGTAATTTTATAATGTCTGTTCACCATTAGTTCCTTGATTTGCTAGAAAATCAAATTTAGGCTCAATCAACTGGCAACACGATAGTGGAATCTTTGGGCCGTTGTGATGCATGTCTGATGTGTTCCGATGATATTAATTTTTACCTAACTAGGTTTGGTGGTTGCCAGTTTCCAGTATACAGCTGACCTCTCTTTTGCTCCTACGTGCCTTGGTTGCACTGAATTTGCAAGTGCTGAAAGTATCTCTGTCAAGCAATTAGGCAGTTTCAAGCAGAGATGAATCCTGGTCATCAGGCCACTATGAGTTATGGAAATTCTGGATTTAGCATAACACCATTGCTGACGTAGTTTGATGCATTACAATAGGACTATCGAGGATAAGTAGTGACCAGGCAGGCGTTTTGCAAACTTCTGTATAGGCTGTAGGGTGAAGATGCGCACCTCTGGGCTTTCAGTAGTGCTGTGCTGGGGCAGAAACTCACCCGAGTCCAGGTATGCGGAGTAGAGAGAATAGGGAGAAGATCTCTTTCATGGTAATTCTTGGTTAGTACATGCATAGAAAAAAAATATCATTAAAGTTGCATAGTTTGTTATACAGCTACAACAGTTAGATATCTCTATCTGATTAATTCACAGCGGTGGGAATCCGATGGTTTTAGTCCCTATCCATTAGTTTCTAGGCTGTTTATGCATTTCCAGTTGTGTCTGTTTGGGTGAGAAAGATGCACCCTAGCCATGGCTGTGCTAGGAGTTAAGCTGGGAACATAAATTAATAAAGCTTATAATCTGGTTAGGAATAAGGTAAGATCATTTAGCACTTTCATGCCAACTATCATCAGCAATGTGGTAAAATTTTAGACTCTGATACTCCATAAGTTTTGTATATATACACTCTATCATCATGCCGTTCGTCTTGTTCGCCGTCTCCATTCTGTTCTTCTTCAGATATAACTCCACTGACATGCTTCACCGAGGAAGTAGTAGCCGAAGAACGCAACACGTGGGGTCTCCGTTACGACGAGTATCGGAGAGCGAGCACATTGCTATTGGACAGTAATCGCCCAATCTCTAAAGAAGAGAAGAAGGCGAGGTTCCGGGAGCTGGACCAAAAATACAAGCAGGTAAAGCGTGGACCAGTCCACTGCTGGCTAACAAACTCGTGAGAACATCATATGCATTTTTTTTTTCGCGAGATGAGAACATCATATGCATTCCCTGACTGGCTCGTGAGAACTGGGTTGGGCTGCAATGCAGATGCTGTACGACGCGGCGGAGCTGGAAGAGAGCCAGAAGCACCCGTTCGCCGTCTACAGGGAGGCCTGCGCGATCTACCAGCTGGTGTACGAGCACGCGGCGCGGTGCCGGAGCGACGACGAAGGGAGGCGTGTCGAGAGGTGCGGCTTCGTGTGGAGGGTCGCCGGCCGCGCGCTGTGCGAGTTCTACGTGATCAAGCGCCGCGGCGACAGGGTGGTCGCCGACATGCAGGTCCTCCGCGACGCCTTCAGGAAGGATCGCGGTGCGTAGCATAGCATGCATGCAGCCATATAGCGCTAGGCAGAGTATAGCTCTAACTGCATATCTGATTATCTATGTATGTACAGTACGTAGTAGTAGCAGCAGTGTGGGGTACGCGTACAGACCTGTGTACAAGTTTGAATTGCTGATGTGATGCATGTGTATTTATGTGTACATGCGTGTAGTTAAAGACGTTCTTCTCTAGACGGAGAGCATGTCCTCTGCCTGGGTAACCCTTCCGCGAAAACGGAGCCTGTCTCTCAACAGCAGTTGGCCGTCCATGTTGCTCTCTAGGATACGCCCGGAAAGGTTATAGAAAAAAGCGCCCGCCCTGTTTACTATTCGGAACATTAAGCAAATATTCCAGAGTCATCTCACCCGCCCTGTTTGACTCGAGTGCCTTCATTATTTCATCATGATACCCCAACAGTTTCCAAACTTCCGTGGCCATCGGGCATTCAAACAGTAGGTGTTGAATAGTTTCTGGACCTAATTTGCAGGAAGGACATTCGGCCTTGATTTTAACACGTACTCCCTCCGTTCCAAAATAGATGGCCCAACTTTGTACCAAGTTAGTACAAAGTTGGGTCATCTATTTTGGAACGGAGGGAGTAGATCAGCTAATATCGTACAACAGGGAATGGCACTCTATACCACTCTCCATATGGAAATTTTGATTTTCGATGGGCACTGGAGGCTCCATAAAAAACCCCACTTCGTATTTGGTGATGATGAGCTACTACTAGTAGTAGCATGTAGATTATTCCCAAAGTGGTGCTCCCAAACAGCATCATAGGCGGACTGAACCACGAAAGCTCCTGTTTTTGACAAATTTCAAGCCAAGAAATCTGACACCTCATGTACAGGTAGAGGAATTGCAAGTATTCTTTGAGCATCAACATGGCAAGAAGTCTGATTCACCAGATCTGTATCCCAATCTCCAGAAGAGGGATCAATGACGTCTGAAACGCGGGATAGAAGTTGACTACCTCTACTCTCAAATCTCTTTTTTTTGTCCATCACCCACTCTCCAAAACATTATACTCTATCATGTATAAAAAGCGGCTTAAGCCCCGCTTTATATATAAAGCAACGATACAAACCGGTACAAACTAACGCCACCATAACACACGCGCACACCCAAGGCAGTATACATAGGCGCTGAGCGCAGCAACACCACCCCCAGCACTACAAGAGCAACCGGGGTCCTCAGTTGTGAACACGCCACCGCGAAGAGATGAAGCCGCATATGACGAACTGTAGGCTTCAAGGCGGTGCCTTCAGAAAGGGAACGACACCGGAATGCCGCCACCGCCTGACCCAAGGGTCAGAGTTTCCCCTAGAGAAACACGACGGACAGTGAGGGCCGCGACGACGCCCTCAAGAAGGGAACGAGCTTCGCCGCCGCCGGTCCGGCAGAAGATAGAACAGGTTTTCATCCCGACCAACACTCACCGCCACCGAACGCCACACCCTGTCTACCATGTCGCCCACACGGACATGGTCACCGGGCATCACTAAGCCACGGGCTCTGCCCATGAGCACCACACTACCACCACCAGGGTCGTCGCCCCGGCATCCAAGACCTTGACACCACGTCAACCGAGATCCGCCACTACTCCAACCAAAGAGACGAGTGAAAAGGCCCCCCTTTCACACCACTGGGAGGCCCCCCAGCGCCGAGACCCAAAAGGCCGGCAAAAACTAGCCTCCATCAACCCGTCTACTGCACCGGGCCCGAGACAAGCTCGGTCCTGCTGTCGGGCATGAGACGAGTACGGTCTCGCAGCATCGGGCGCGAGACGAGCAATGGACCGCAGTCGGGAGAGGGTCGGCCCTTCGATGAAGGTAGTGACCGGACGATGACGAGAGGCATCGAAGGACGACACAAGCCGCTCACCGACGGCCCGACACCGGAGAAGTCCAACTGCCGCCGCGGAATGACCCACACCGCCGCCATGAGCCACCACCACGCCGAGGCAGCCCACATCCACGCGGGACCCCGAGGGGCAGCCCCAAGCCGCCCTACAACAACCGCGTCGCGCCGTCGAAGTCGCAACCCACCCCCCGGCCATAGACTCACAGTGCCCCCGCCACCCCAAAGGAGCGGCCTGGCCGCCAGCCGCCCAGCCACTGCCTTAGCTAGGTCGCCGCCGCTACCCACGCCCGCCGCCGCCCGACCACTCGGATCTGGGCTAGGGGAACCAGATCCGCCGCCAGCGAGTCCCCCAACCATGGAACCCCGGGAGTCGCCTCAGGAAGGGGGAGCAGCACCACCGGGGTGTCAGGCCACCGGGGGGAGGGGCAGGGCCCGGGGAGGGCCCGACGACCCACGTCGTCGATGCGGAAGGTCGCGCCCCGCGGCGTACACCTCCAGCGCACGGGAGAAAGTTGCCTCGCCGCCGCCTATGCCACGCGGCCTTTGGCCGATGATGCCACCGGCGACGGCAAGGGGAGGGAGGCCGGGGCATGGGAGAAGAGGCGGCGCTAGGGTTGGCTTCCGGAGTCGCCCGCAGGAGCGACTCGGAAGCGGAATTATTTTTTCCATGCCATCTTCTTTGATCAAGAAGCCTTCTTTTTCAATTGAACGTTCATAAGATCATCCTCAGGATAATATTTTGCTTTGAGAATTAATGCACACAAGGAGTCAGCATTATCAATGAGCCACCATGCCTGTTTTGCCAGTAGTTCAAGGTTAAAATAGTGAATACCCAGAAACTTATGCCTCATTTTTTTTCTTTTTTCTTAGGTATACACATTTTCCACCATTCAAATCTTTCTTTTGTGTGATGCATCATCACTCCACCAAAAATGAGATATCACATCCGTGATTCCTTTGCAATTTTTCTTAGGAATTTTAAAGACAGGCATCGCGTAGGTTGGTATGGCATGTGCAACAGATTTAATAAGCGCTTCGTTACCAGCTGAAGACAACATTTTTCTTTCCATCCTGTGAGCCTCAAGATCAACCGATGAATCAAGTATTGAAAACAATCGCTTGTATGCAAACCTTAGCTGGCAACCCCAAGTATTTATAGTTAATAGCCTCCGTCATGATATTAAGTATAGAGCAAACCTGAGTGTAACGCCCCGGATATAACCTGCCATATTTGTACTCCAACTCTTGCCATTTTCGGCGTTAAGTTATGAGATTCCTTCGTGGTTGGGTTTTGTCTTCATTTTGCATTTTGTCCATGTCATGCATTCCATATCATGTCATCATGTGCATCTCATTTGCATACGTGTTCGTCTCATGCATCCGAGCATTTTCCCCGTTGTCCGTTTTGCAATCCGACACTCCTACGTCCTCCGGCGCCCCCTTTTGTCTCTTTTCGTGAGCGGGTGTTAAACTTTCTTGGAATGGACCGAGATTTGCCAAGCGGCCTTGGTACACCACCGGTAGACCGCCTGTCAAGTTTTGTGCCATTTGGAGTCCGTTTGATACTCCAACGGTTATCCGGGGAACCGTAAAGGCCTCGTGTGTGTTGCAGCCCAACACCCCTCCAAAATGGTCCAATAACCCTTCCAAACCCCTTCCGTGTCCTCCGCCGTCGGATCACGATCGCGTGGCCGAAAACTACACCTTTTTTGGCTCCCACCTCCTTCTAGGTATAAATATGTGCAACCCTCTTCAAATCCCGGACGAAACCCTAGCCTTCTTCCACCCCGCGCCGCCGGACACGTCCGCGTCCGCCGGTCGCGTCCACCAGCCACCTCACCTGATCCAATCCGGTGCTGCCACGTCGCCTCCATTGTCGCTGGAGCCAACTGCGCCTCGCCACGTCGCCTCCGCGCCCGCGCCCACTTCGCCGCACCCGCGCCGGCCCACCGAAGCCCGCCGCGGGCCCTCCCAGCCCGCGCACCTGAGCCGCCGCTCGCCGCCCGCTTGGCTCACCGCCTCGCGCTCCGCTCGCCGCCTCTCCCGCCGGCGCGCTCCGCCGCCCCGCTCGCCGGCCACCGCCGTTCGTCGGCGCGCGCAGCCGCCTCGCCCCGACGCCGTCTCCGCCACGCCGCCCCGATGCTAGTTGGTTTATTTGGTGGAAGATCATATGTTCAGATCCTATATGCATATTAATACCCCTCTGATTATGAACATGATTATGCTTTGTGAGTAGTTAAGTTTGTTCCTGAGGACATGGGAGTAGTCTTGCTATTAGTAGTCATGTGAATTCGGTATTCGTTTGATATTTTGATGAGAAGTATGTTGTCTCTCCTCTAGTGGTGTTATGTGAACATCGACTACATGACACTTCATCATTATTTGGGCCTAGAGGAAGACATTGGGAAGTAATAAGTAGATGATGGGTTGCTAGAGTGCCAGAAGCTTAAACCCTAGTTTATGCGTTGCTTCGTAAGGGGCTGATTTGGATCCATATGTTTCATGCTATGGTTATGTGACGCCTGGATAATTAAGCTACAGTAATTCTTTGCTAATGATGCCACGTCACTTCGATTACTATCGCTAATCTCGTGTTAGTTCGAAACCGATTCAAATTCAAATTCAATTAAAGGCAAATAATAAAAGTTTTCAAATATTAAAACCAAATTGTTCGAGTTATGCCAAATAATTTATAGGTGATTATGGTGAAGCACCCATACTTTTATACAACGTTTAAATGCTATAAGATAACTAAAATAGTAGCAAAAACTTTTAATTAAATGCTTTTAAATAATAAATAATTACACAACTATTTTAAATTAGGTAGCTAGTTAATGTGGCAGTGGCATATTTGGTAACATCAAATTAGGTGCCATTTTGGTATTTTGCTAAATCAAAAATAAAAGAAAACTAAGCTAAAACAGAAAGGAAATAAAATAAACAAAAGAAAAAGAAAATACAAAACTAGAAAAACAAAACTACCAAAAAAAAGAAAAGGAGAAAGCGAACACCCCTTGGCCCAACTGGGCCATGGCCCAGCCGGCCACCCCCTGGCCTATAGGCCACCCCCACACCCCGGAAACCCTAACCCGTAACCCCCACTCTCCCCACTTCCCGATCCACGTCTCCC